TCTACCTACTCTCTCTCTCTCTCTCTCTCTCTCTCTCTCTTAAAAAAAGAAAAAGACGAGAGAAAAGAGTAAGAGAGAGCAATCCTAGAATTGTTTACCAATAATTATCGAGTGTGTATATTATGCTCCCTTGTAAGCATAGTTTACTTTTAGTCCCTCGTTTAGCATATCTACTTGGGAGGATTGTTTCAATCAAAATTTTGAGAACAACTTAAGAACTACTAGATAATATATTTTTTTAAAAAAAGATCTTTAATTTTCTAACTTTTAGCTCTCACCATTTGAAAATTAGACGTGAAAATTAAACGGTCTTTATTCAATATCAAGATGTTAATTTTTGGAGTGCATAGAGGGTAAAATTAGGAATTTTTGAGGTTAATCTATTGGTTGAAGAGGTTACACCCTCAAAATTTTGGGTCTTAAAATTAACTCTCCATTGAGATTTCATCTGAGGGAGTAGATGGATATTCTACTTATGCGGGAGTAGATTAGAGAGAGAGAGAAAGAGAGAGATTAGAGTTCTAGTTAATGAAGGGCATTTCATCGAACCATGTAAAAATAGACAAAGGTTTAGTTCAAGGTTACTTTATTACATCGAGAGAAAGAGAGAGAGAGGAGGTAGTTTATCAAACTCAGTCTCTCAGTGTGCTCACACCAAGTCGATTAAGTTGTTTTGGTAATTAAGAAAGGGAAATTACTAAAATTAATTCCCTGATAAACTAGTCTATTAACTTTATAAAGGGTTCAAGGTACACATGTATATTTTGTACAACCATTTGTAGTAATATGATGAAACACTATTAAAAAATCATGCTAGGGCCACATGTTTGATCCTCATTTTAAAATATATATTCTTTTTATTATGATAAATAATTATAAAAAAATAAAATTTAAAAATAGGTGCACTTGGCATAGGGATGCATTTGCAGCTGTAGAAGTAAAGTGCACCTTCAAATTTTATCATGATATATAATTTTGATGTAAAATGTTCTTAGGATTATCTCAAAGTCTATTTTTATATCTAATTATAAAAATTTAAATTTAAAAAATGGTTAAAATCAAGTAGATCTATAAACATATGAAAATATTGAAAATGGACGGTGTAGATAATATGTTGTAAAATGCACTATTTTTGAGACTTAAAATCTTTTTATTTTCATGGTCATACATCTCGATGTCGAGATCATCAATCAAAGGGTTTTTCAACATTAAAACTACTTTTTCCGATGGATTTTTGAGGGGCATCCGTAGTTCTACGTGTTAAGGTTGGAACCTTATATAAACTTTTTCCTTTAAAAATATACATTAAAAAGTATTTTCTTCACCAAATTAACAAGGGCCGTCCTGTTTGAGAGATGCTTATATCTAGGCTGTAGTGAGATTCCTTTTCTTTTCCAAATTTTGTGGATAGATTTATTATTAGATAAACTATATATATATATATATATATATATATATATATATGACTTTGAGTTAGAGTTTAGATTTTAAAATTCACCCAATAAAAGGTCTAGATTCATTGTAGAGGGGGGCCTCTTTTGGACGGTGTAAAATGACTTTTTTTTAAAGGATTGATTGTTGGGCAATAACGAGTTTGCAAAATTTAGGATCATATAAATGCCACGAATATGATTTTCTAGAAATATAATTTCATTATATTACAATAGGAAATGTATACAATGAGACTATTTATTTTTTATACAAGGAGGTTACATTTGAAATCGAATGGTTGAGGGATGCTTAAGTTTGAAATAAAATTCCTCGAATTGTTGTGATACACTTTCATTAATTAGATTTCACATCTACTTGTTAAAAATGATTGTAACCTCTATGTACAGAAGATAAATAGTTTTTTTTTGCGAAAGGGTCATATTCATTAAGGTAATGAAAAAGCAAGATACAAAGAAGAAAAAGAAAAAGAAATAGGAAAAAGAATAAAGGATAAAAAGGAGAAAAACAAAAAAGAAAGAGGAAAAGGAATAAAGGATAAAATGGAGAAAAACAGGAAAAACAAGGAGAGCCCAAAATAGGCCCTTAAGAAGCTGTGGCTAGGGCAACTAAAGAGTCGGCTTCTGAATTTACAAGTCTGTGAATAAAACTGTAAGAAGTTTCCCGGTCTCTCAAAGCCCACAAAATCTTATCCATGGCACCACTAAGCCTTCAAGGTACGAGAGCGGTATGACAACACCAACCAATAACATTTGCTGAATCTCCTTCGATGATGATCTTAAACAACTAAAGGTCAAGATGTAGCACCAGTGTATACAACTCTGCTTCATGAATGGAGTGGTCTCATAACATACAATCCCATTACGATAATATAGTGACATGAAATCATATCATATGTGTCTCTATATATAGGGAGTATAGGGAGAGCCACTGCACCAAGGCGATTAATCTTTTTGGTAATTAACGTAGGGTTGCCAAATTTGATCACTTATATAGCAAGCTCAAGGGCATTTCAGTAAAAAAATGTCCTAGGGATGGCAATGGATGTCCTAGACACGATGACTAGACATGGTTTGGGTTTGGGTATTGAACCCAACGGGTTAGGTTTGCGTCCAAATAGATCCTACCCGATCCAAATGGTGTTATTAATTAAATAATATTCAATATATAATATTTTAACAAATATAAATATGTATTTTTAATTATAATATTCAAATAATATATATAAAAAAACACTACAAAAGTTCCAAAGATGAAGTTTTGCTGTACTTCGACTTCGGCTTTATCACCCTTCAAAGTTTAGGTCTCTCGGGTTTCAGTTTCATGAGAAATATTTTCGTGTACCGACTCGACCCGTTGCCGCCACCCCTAGATTCAGTAATTCGGAGAAAGTGCATTCCTAGTCATGGTTTCGCGCGAGAACTCGGCCCTAAATGCATAATGATACCACCATTTCCCCTTAGAGAGAGCTCTTAGAGAGAAAAATAGATACATGTCTGAGAGGGAGAGGTCTTAGAGAGAGAGAGAGAGAGAGAGGTGGTTTTCTCATTAAAACATTGCAGAGCCACAATGGTGGGCGGTAAGAGAAAGAGAAAGAGAAACAGCTCCGAAACCCATATCTCTACCCAAAATCTCTTTCCTCAAATGCTTGCTGCTTACTCAATGATTCATACTGAGCAGGGTTTGTCCACCCTCAAAAAGGTGCTAAATTTTTATCTCAGATTAATTAGAACACCCCCAAATGGCTCCCTGGCTCCTCAGGATATTTTACCAGATGGGGTTCTATCGCTGTTTCCTCTGCTACTTAAAACCAGGCAAGTTTCTTTCTCTAATCTCTCTCTACTTAACTTCAACATCAATTTCCTCCTTATTATTTGCGTATTTCTACCTAGAAACAAATTTATATGTAGAATACTTTTACAACAGTCTAATTTGATCCTATGATTGAAAGCTCATAAATTGATTTCTTAGTCTTCATCTTATGGGCTCACTATACAAAACACTTATTTTTATTCATTTTTGGAGCTTTGGGTTTCCTTTTCTGCCTATTCTTTTTCTCATGGACTAACAAAAAAAAACCCATCTTTTTGTTTGATGTTGGGAGCTTTGAATTTCCTTTGAGTTATTGAATTGCAAGATAATTACTGGGTTGTTATTAAATTAAGCTGAAAAATTCAGGAAATAATTTTTTTTACATTGGGGTTTTTTCAGATACCCAGATGTAGCTGTAAGGAGCGTAGAGATTGTTGGAGCAGTTTCTCTTTGGTCTTTAGAAGCTAATATAAAGTTGGTTTCTGATGAAGAAATAGTTAATGCAATGGTATCCATGCTTGAGAGCAATAAGAGAAGGGTGGTCATGGCTGCGTGTAATGCTGTTATGGATTTGGCCACAACCACAATTGGAAGTGAATCTCTGTGCAAATCATCTTCCATTGAGAAGATATTGTGAGTTACTAGCATAGCTTTTTTTCTTCTTTTATGTTGTTTTATTTGGCGTCAATCCCTGCTTTTTCTGTTCAGTTTCTACTTCAATTTTGTTGGACTCATTGAATAGAGTGAGAATGTAACCTAATTGCAGTTATTAGGAGTTCATAAATTGTACACTCCATTCATCAATAAAAATTCGATCATCGAAAAAATGAGTTAATACATTTCTTTGATCCATTCCGTTCACTGAGAAGATATTGTGAGTTACTAGCATGGATCTTTTTTTTTTCTTTATCTTGTTTTATTTTGTGTGAATCCCCGCTTTTTGTATTTGATTTCTAAATCAATTTTGTTGGACTCAGTGAACAAAGTGAGAATGAAACCTAACTACAGTTATTACGAGTTCATAAATTGTACACTCCATTCAATCAATAAAAGTTCAATCATCAAAAAATGGGTTTATAAATTTTATTGATATCTTCATGATGTTCATTTCGAGCTATATTCTATTAGCAATAAGAAAATTCATGAATTACACTAATGGTGGATGTCAATTTAAAGGTATTTCTTTTTTATTTTTCTGGTTTATCATTGATTTGGAGTAAGGTTTAAAATGTTTGCATTACGGAATTTTAGATGAAAAATGGAGTTTCCAATTTCTAGTTCTTCTGTACTCACAGAAAGAGAAAGGGACTGTACTCAACATTGGCTGTCATTAAAGTTGAAATATGACCGAACCAAATTACCAGACGCTTGGTAGGCCATATATTTTCTTCTATAACATACACGATTCTATAAGGTGATAGTGCCTATCTCTCGCCCATAGTTTCTATCTCTATAAGGTGATAGTGCCTATCTGTCTTGGTGTAATTTCTAACTTCAGTTTTGTGTACTTTATTGCTTTCAGCAACAATAGTGAAAACTTGTATAAGATAAATGTAGAATTTCAAATCTCAAAACACATGCAAGCTATGTGAAGTACTCCGCATAGTTTGAGATGTAACCTAATATTCATTTGCAGTCGAAAAAGACCATTGTCCTTTACTCTTAAATCTGCCGTTTCCTGTTCTTTGTATCATTTTTCCTTTTCTTTTATTTTGTTATGGCTGCTTTTTGATTTCCGATATGCAGGTATCTCTTATAGAGAAATGGTGCAAGAGCACAAGTGTATAAATATATAGATGGCAATTTATTATTGGTCGGACATAGAAATTCCTGCAGAGGCATTCTCCTTTATGGATGAGACCATCAGCCTAGTTCTTCTATTCTTTAAGAAAAGTTTTAAATGATTGAGCACTTTAATGGAGAAAAGCTCTTTTTCTCAACATTTGGTGTGGCATTGAGTCCCTCGCTATAGAAATCATAGATATTTCTTGAGGCATGAATCCAAGCATGCACACACACACATGCACCAAGCCTATGCAAGAGATGCTATGTATGATTTTGTTTGCAAAGAATTACTTGAAAGCATTTAATTTGAGCATCTGCATGCAGATCAGTGTTATCCGGAGTAGACCGGCCATCGAGCCGATCAAGAATCTCAGTCTTTGATCTTCCGGAATCTTTGCCCACCCACTATTTGGAATTCATTCGGGAGCACTTTTTCTCCATTATTTTCTATAATGAATATGTTCATCAAGTTTTATGTATAGTTCTCACCTGACTTCTAATAGGTCTTTATTTTGTCAGGAGCTGCACTGTTCTAAAGAATTCACTTATTGTTTGAGTTGGTTGAGTGGAAATCATTGTTTTTCTGAGGGAGACTCATTCCTAGTGCTAGTTCTTCAATCACTGGAAACCCTAATTAAGGCTTGTGACAAAGATCGCTTGGTGAAAATCCCAAAGGAGCTAGCTACTTCCTCATTGGACTATCTTAAACAGTTATTGGGCAAATTGCAGGAGGGAAAATTGCAGGATTTGCCAAAAATAGAAACAGATTGTCCAGAGCAAAAATGCCAGCCGAATTCTAAGAGATGGTCTGATCTGGCTGAAACCATATTTAGGCTCTCAATGATCCATTGTTGCTTTACTACTTACTCAGTTGATGCCATTAAGGAAAGCATATTTGGAAATACAGAATGTTCCTTTGATATGTTTTTGACAAACCATTGGGAGGATTCACCTGTACTGTTAAAGAAGAAATCTAAGGCTTCAGATGATTATGATAATATCATTGGCTCGTTAATTCAGTCCATTAATTCTGAAAGTATTGAAACCATCCTTGGTTCTATCTTACGAGGCTTGGTTCCCTGCCCACCTATTGCATCAGATGAATTGGAGATTCTAAATTTCCTCAAAGAGGTCCACGGTAGTATGGGTGGCCCATTAATATATGGACAGGACATTCGACTTGTGAAAACTGTCAAGGAATTGACTTCGTTACCAGATGAAGAGAATTTGGGGGAAGAGATTCATTTTACTGTTGAACTCAAAAGCTCGTGCAGCATCATTGAGAACACCAAAGAGGTTATGGAGCATGAATGTAGAGATGCTTATTACAGTGGATATACAATTGCTCTTCGTGGTGTGGAGTTCCGCTCTGATAAAGTTGCTGCAATTGCGGATAACTTAGCTGTGATTTTTGGGCAACCATCTGTTGGTGCGAACATTTATCTGACACCGCCTAATTCTCAGGGTCTTTTGCGCCATTATGATGATCACTGTGTATTTATATGTCAACTGCGTGGGAGTAAGAGATGGGCTATTTTTCCTCGAACAACTCTTCTACCTCGCTTGTACGAACCTCTAAATACCCTGCATGTTTCAGATAGTGAAGGTTGCAGCGGAAAAACCAAAGAAATTTTGCTCAAAGAAGGGGACATTCTTTATATTCCCAGAGGCTGTGCTCACGAGGCTCAGACAGTTATGGGTGACCCTGAAATTGTTGACTCTCCCGAGTTCTCTTTACACTTGACGCTCGGTATTGAGGTTGAACCTCCATTTGAGTAAGACTCTATATTTTTTCTTGGACCCATCTAACTTAGTTGAAGAATTCAGGGAAATGTTTTCAGTTTTATAGTTGTATTTCCTGTTATTTTTCGCGAGAGATATTTGAATTGAATCTAGCTTCTCCCAACTATTTGAGTTGCTGTAATTGTTTTCCTCTTGCATTTTAGTTATTAGTTTCCATATTCCCAATTTGATGAATAGTTGTCTATCACCAATTATTGAATTAATTGGCTTGTGATGATTGGGACCAGCATTGATGTGGAGATATATAATGCATTATGGCAGTTGCATTTGCATGTGTTGGTCTGGGGTATGATATAATGCATCACCAATCTCTAAGATAGCATAAACAGTTGGGTTTGAACTTGTGTGTGCGTGGGAGGGAGATGGATTAATGAAAAGATGAACTTCTATGTAACGTAACTGCAGGGAGGGAGGGAGGGCGGGAGATGGATTACTGAAAACATGAACTTCTACATAACATAACTGGAGGGAGGGAGGGAGATGGATTACTGAAAACATGAATTTCTAAATAACGTAACTGTCCTGTCTGTTCCTTAGTCCATGATTACACTACTTCTGTTTCAATAAATTGCTTTGAGATTCTTAATATTGTTCGCGATGGTAATTAAGCCTTTATACAAATCATATTCTTCTCCATGTAAAAGTGTATGCCTGCCAATGTCACGTCGGCATCTTTGCTTCTTGCATTTGCTGATACATGTGGTATCTATCAATGATTTAGTTACTATCCTCCAAGTTTTAAAATCCAGATCAGGTGGCCGACTAGGTCACTCGCTGGATTCTTCCGGATTGGCCAATTCTCCAGGGTCAAATAAGAAAGAACCCAAAAAAATATTAAAACTTTAAAATCAATGGGACTTAGGCAATTTACTAGGTATGTTCCATTAGACCTGGATCACACACCTCCGAACCTGATCCAGATTGGCGATTTTTATGTCCCTGCTATTCTCCATTGCCCTAAAATTTCGATTAAATCATTTTGTTGAAATAAAAAAAATTCAGATTCTGGTCTGAAATGTTTTCAGATTTCTAATGTTGATTTTCGTGTAGGTGGGAAGGCTTTACTCATGTTGCTCTCCACTATTGGTGCCAAAAAAGGGAGAGATTGGCTCCTCCCAATGTCGGTTGCCAAATTTTTTTGAAAAGCATGTCTATTAATTTGTTACATGTATCAATCAGGCTTGTCGGGAGCCATGACACAATATTCAGAAAGGCGTGCTTGGTTTCTGCAATCCCTTTGCCTTCAAACTTCGATCCCATTGTTAGAGAGAGAGAAAACACTCTCTCCCTGAATCCAAAAGCATGTTTCTCTCACCTTATTAGCAAAATACATGAAGAATGCAGTTTCACGGATGCAATTGCCAGTGTAAAATCTGCTATTGAGTACCCAGCAAGAGATTCTCTCCATTGGATGAGATGGTTGGGACACATTAGTGCTTTGACTAATAGTAAAGACGGGACTAACTGCAATAACCCTCTATTGGTCTTCAAGGACCTGCTTCAAATGAATGTCTCAGAGGTTGCAGAAGTGGAAAAACTCTTTTTCGAAGCCAAATCTGATTTTTGCTCGAGCATAATATTTGAGGATGTTATTGAGAATTACAATGTGCTATTAGACAGGTATAGAAATGTAAGGAAACAATACATGAAAGGAATGCTTTCGCTGCAACGTTTTTTATAGCTGAAGTTGGACTTCCCAACATACTTTCAAATTCATATCGTTGAGGTCAGTGCACTATCTTGTCAACTTTCGTCGTTCCTTTGTTTAACATTGTATTTTCTGGTGTAATGTAATTGTTATTTGGATTGATGCACGCAATGGTATAATTCTCATCAATAGACAACCTACCTTCCCTAAAAATGTGTGTATGAGAGAGAGAGAGAGAGAGAGAGAGAGTTGTTATTACTACTTGCATTTGAAACATAGAAACTTCATATTTTCTCATCTCCAGTAATTTTATAAACAAGATATAAGCACAAGATGTGGAGAATCCAAGATTTTGTATTTGATTTTGGTAACATAAAAAACTAGAAGGACTAGGGTTTGGGATGTTTAGGGTTTGGAGTAGGATGGGTTGTTACTCCATGATAATCAACCTGGTAAATCAGTTCTTCTTCACTGGCCTCATATTCTGCCTCTGCAGCATGCCCTTGTGTTCCTTTAGGAATCTTCATTCCTCCATCAATCTTCATATCAGTAAGTAAAAAAAAAGAAAAAATCATTAATGTTCAGAAATACCTAAATCATTAATTTTTCCTACAAAAGAAGGAAAAAAAGAACTTGGGTTTTCTCAAAAATCTACTGGCCAAACCAACCTTATTCTCACGATCCAATTTGAAATGCACCAGTTTTCTGTGATCTCTTTCTGCCATGGGTTTTTGTTACGATAATTAGGATTCAAATTTTTTGAAAAACAAGTTAAAAGAGATATATGAATACAGAAGCTGAGAGATTGTACCATGTTGAAGTGTGTATGCAGGCGAAGTTGCCAAACCATGTAAAAAGAGAAGGCATGTGAACAAACAGAAGAGTATTCTTAAACTTCTCATGCTCTCTCTCTCTCTCTCTCTCTCTCTTCAATTGCTGTGATTCCAAGGAAGCAACTGAATAAGAATTAAAGGAGGCGAAGAGAGGGTGGTAAAGGAAAGATTTTTGTGAATGAATAATTGAAGGAGACATGTCTGAGTCGATGGCTTGGAGTTTTATGGGGCATGGGAAAATATACTGTGTAACCTCCAATTATTGCTGATGAAAGAGAGAACAGGGCATGGCTGAAGGTTTGTTGGGAAGACTGGGTATGAGAGAGGTTTGGGACAAATAGAACCCATGTGTGCTGTCTCTTCTAGGACAAACCACACATATGGGAACCCGTCATTGAATTTCTCTGCCTAATCCATGCTAAGTTACCAAGTAGTTAAATATTTCTTAGGACTGTTTTCTCAGTTAGGAGGGTTTTTCCCATGGCTTCCTTTAGATTGAAAGTCTCATGGTTTGTGGGTTTCTATGTTTGCCTCTCTCTCTCTCTC